TACTATCAATACTATCATATCAATGTTCTATTAAGCTATTCTCTGGATAGTTAAAATTCAAGCTGTTCAACTAGTAAAGTATTGAAAAAAAGCTTCTCTTTTTCAGATATGGACAAATTTACAGTTAACTATTACTTGCTAATCAATGATCACTAGAGCATACAATGGACTATAAGAAACTTGCTCCATAATATCCAGGTTTAACTTTGCTGCCATGCATCAATTATCAAACAATTAACACTTTATCCCTAGATCTGGTGCCTACATGATCATTCCTAGGGTTTAACAGAAATAACAAAGTTTACAAGGTCTGGGAGGGTGCAAGGCAAAATGGTTTGGGAAGATTGTGGTGGCAAACTGGCCGAAGGCTCGGTCACTGATGGTAGGATGGAGGGAAGAGCACAAGACAGCTAAGATTTAATAAATACGAGCTTTACAAATTCCTTTTCAATCTGTGAAATGCAGACAATATGCTCGTCAACCTCAGCAGCAAATGAACCATCACTTCATCATGTTTCTTTATGTCAGATGTAGATCAGATCATCACTTGATCTCATCTACATCTGACATAAAGAAAACTCTTAACAGTTTTGCCAACTCTGCCATGCAATATTTGTCAACTTCAAACATTTGATTTCATCTTCCAAGCCATTCTTGGGAAGATCCTCTTGCATCTTGAAGTATGTGGAATCCTGTAGCTCAGTGGTTACAGCACTCGTTTCGCAAGCAAAAGACTTGGATTTGATCCTGGGAGGGCGAAATGTTGGGCAAGTTTCCTTATTCCACACGCCTTTGTTTACCTAGCAGTAAGAAAGAACTCGGTTGTTAGTCAATTGGAGGATCGCTTTTACGGGGGTAATAATTCCTTCAAAAAATAATAATAATAATTTGGTCACTCAATCCACGATTGTTTGTGGGACACTGCTGTGCGCAATTGGCTGCCCCGTTTCACCCACAAATTATACTGTCAATTCACTTTAAAGTATATTCTGTGAAGCGCTTTGAGACGTCTCGAAGAGAAGATAAGACACTGTATCAAATGCAAGGATTGTCATTATTAAGTATCAAAATCTGCATCAGAGTTCTTTTGCTGGAAATCTTATCGGCCAGTGAGTTGTGTGATGGTGAATGGAACCCTTTCAGAAAGGTTTCCAATGGAAAATGTGTCTGGCAGAGAGCTGGCATCAGACTATGGTCAGTGCAACCACTTGACATACCATTTGCAATGGTGATGTGACCTTCGAAGACCTAGAATATGTTACATTTGATGGAAGAAATGTGCCTGCCCTGCAAACTCTACTTGACTGCATGGAGGAGGCTGCTGATAAAATCAGCTTGCGTTTTAATGTTGAGAGGACGATGGAATGTTTTTTTTCAGCGAGTGAACCAAGGTCTCCCTGACCCTGAACCACCAATGCACATTACAGTAGCACATTCTCAAATTCAATGGGTAAATGAATTTAAACACTGCACGTAGCTTTCCAGAACCATCAAGGTCAAAATCATGAGACATCTATTCATCTGCCTTTCTTGTAATTGCCTTTAGCTGCAGCTAGTTGTTATGGCAACACATATGCAAAAAAAATGTAGTTCAAGGTACGTTTGATAAATATTGTATGAAATCAACTCATAAAGCAAGTTGAGGACACTTAGGACAGAATATCATTATTGCATTAACTTTGTCTCCAGCTTGGCTCCTGAAAATTGGATACAGGAGTTTGGATGAGTTCCTAGTTTCACAATCCTACATCTGACAATTTGCCAGATCCAGAGTTTCCATAGAAATAACAATTGGTCACTGAGGCCTTAAACACAAATGATTCAGTAATAAGAAATATTTCAAGTTTTGGCAACTTAATTAACAAACAATTATAAAATTTAGATTCAGTATTATTATGTCAGAACCACGGTAAAATGCCCATAAGTATCTCAGGAGCCTAAGGGTACCAAGAGCACAGTTGGTAGGTAGCCTGGAGTCTGGAAACATTACAGAAATTACATTTTGTTTCAAAAATAATGACTGAAACAGATGGGCTATTGTTTGGGGATAATAAAGTATAATGTTAATGGAAACTATACTTCATCACTAAAGCATACAGTAAGTAAAGTTTTTTACTGTTTTTTTACAACTATAGCACATAATACTCTAATCAGCGGAAAGGATTTCATCTTATATCAGCAGATGTAAACAGAGAAACTCTGTGGCATGTTGCACCATGGATGGCAGGTGATGGTTTGCATTCACGATTATTTCCAATGTGATGTACTATTGAGGGAAGGTCCCAAGCAGAACCTAAAATATTCTCTTCCCTCCCTTGAGAGGAAACAAAAATTAGAGGAAATGAAACTTTAGATGGAGGAAGAAAATATAACAAATTAATAATAAGGAGCAGAACACAATTCACATTGTGGTTCCACACTGAACTAAGTTACAAAACGGGTTCAGAAGAAAGTCAAGTGGTACTTGTTGGAGATAGTTCAATGGTTGTTCACCTATCGACAAGAGATGTTCCAGATAAGCAAATATATATTAAGATGTGGCATTGCAGTAACATTGCCCAAGAGTCATCACAGTAGAGTGCCATATCTTTTTTAATTTGACTGTAATAACACGATGCGTGAAGTTGTCAACATAGACAGAATACCAGTTCACTTTACAAATAGGACCCCAAACTGCCAGACACATTTCAGCTCTTTATATTTATTTTTTATTAATATGGATACAAATGATTAGAATTTAATGATTGCACTAGCTACCATATCCCAATCATGATTTAACCAGACACAGTTGAGGTATTTCCAAAGATCTTGGAGAGTGATCATAAATTTGAGTCTGTAATGGAAGAAAGAAGGCTAAGCGGGATCTAATAGAGATCTTCAAATATCTGAACTTTTGAGAGGATAGATTTGTGAAAGATTATTCTGTAACGAGTAGGTACGATCTCAGGATTGTGGCTAGAAGAGATAAGGAAGAGGTTAGAAGCAACCTCTAACTTTACTTTATGCAGATAGTTACCAATATATGGAATGCTTTGTCACAAATGGCTTCTGAGTTTGAGACCTTTTAGACCTTAGCAACATTTAAGAAGGATTTGGATCAGCGTTTGAAGAAGAATATAAAAAATTGTACAAGGAAAAAGTAGGGTCTTGGGATTAGAGAAACTATTGTCAGTGGAGGAGCTAGAACCACATTAGGCTGATGGGCCTCTTCCTCTGATGTGATTCCTATGAGAGTAAATAAATCCATAGTTGTCTCATGCTTAGAGCATATTTGTGATAGAAATATAAAAATTCAGACTCCAGCGCTTAGATGATTTATTTGCATACATAACAATGATTCTTGAAATAAGGACTGAAAAAAAATGTGTGGAATGCAGCTCTGAAAGTGATATGTGAAAGAGTTAGTGTAAGCAATCAACCAGACTAAGTTCTAGTCCAAAAGTGTTTGCCAATTTACAAACTCACTCTCCATATATCATGCCCATATTTGCAACGTTGAGATTTTTGGCTTTGCCCACCTAGATGTATTATTCCAGCTGCTTTTGAATGAATGAGTAAGTGAGTGACACAGTACGACAAGTTCCAACTCTACTTATTTTACAAAAGATTTCAACAATTCTGCTCAATAAATCGACTCAACTTTGTTTGGCCTTGCCATCATTTTACAAAATCTGTTCATTTAAATTCATAGGATATATAAGTAGGTTATGAGCAACAATGAAAAAGAAAGATTAATTTACAATGAAAACCAGCATGCTGGTAATTAACCAAGACAATGTTGTGAAATGCATGGCATACTCACTGACAAGGCTGTGTTGGAATTCTTTCACTATGTTGCCATCACTTCTCTCTCCATAAAAGCTGTGCCCCATAGTGTAGTGACATGTGGTCATTAGTATTCACAAAGCAATCAGGAAGTAAATCTAAAAAGGATCAAATCCATGATAAAGTGAAAAAAACGAAGCTCATCCCAATTGGATAGCCCATCTTCAACGATAGAAATTTACATCACAGGTGGCTATTCAGCCATTCCCTGTCTTTGCTGTCTCTTTGAGAGAGTAATACATTCAATCCATTTACTACCTTTTTCACCTTGCCCCTGCATATTACTCCTTTATAGACATATATCTAGCTCTCTTGAAAGCTAATACGGATTCTGCCTCAGCTACCATACCAGCAGGACATTCCACATCCCAATAACTTTCTGTGTAAAGAATGATCCTCCTAATCCCCCTTTGCTCCTGTACTAATGATCCTAATGTGATGCCCTATAGTCTCTGTCACATTGACTAGTGCAAATGTTTTCTCCCTATTGACTCTAAAAAAAACCTCATAATTTAAAAGACCTTCATCATGTCTTCCCTGAACCTTCTCTGTCGAAGTGAAAATAGGTTCAGTTCCTCTGTAGGTCAAACCATTCATCACTAGTAAATATCCTCTATCCCCTCTCAATGGACGTGGATAGCCTTCTTAAAGTGGGCTGACCAAAACTGGAAGCAATACTCTAACTAATGATAAGTTTTTTTCTTACAACTGATGTCTATAAGAAATGAGTTTAAGGCAATGTCAGTATTGTTCCTAATGAACGGGAATTAACTAAATTGTCAGTCTCACTTAGAGGCCATATGAATGATTCACATTAGAAATGTACAGGATCTTCTTCAGTATTTGGTGACCCTGGCACTTTGTTGGATCAGAAGAGGTCCAACCTGTGCTATCTATGTCTGCTATGTGAGAGAGAGATTGAGCAGGGTAGAGGGTACTTTATGCTGTGGTCTTACAGTACCTTTTGCACCAAATACCTGTGTTTGTCATGGCAAGACTGATTTGAGTATAAATATAGTTGGTGCAAATTAATCCCAGCTCTGCTACCACACAAACCCCCTTTAAAGGTTTTTGCGTGGTCCTTATTTCCACCAGGATTTTGCCCATTTCACAAAGTATGACTGTGTTTCCTAAGCGTAGTCTCTTTTTCTAAATTTTCATCATTTCTTCTGCAGTTACCAGACACTGTGGTGGACCCACATGACACTTGGCTTCTTTTCGTAGAACATTCAGAGAAAGGGGGTAACGACAGGAGGAGAAACAAGGGAAAAATGAAAAAAACACAGGTAATTTTCCATGGAGATTGGTGAGCAGGAAGTTCACTCTTCCAATATTTTTTGTGGCACTCTCGCATTAACCTCTATTCTGTTGACACTAACTATACTAACCAGAGGCAGCCATAATTTTGCCAAATATAAAAGGCCTCACCAAGGGAAAGGACGTGCGAAGGGTTTATATCAGTGAAAGAGGCCTTGAATGTTGATCGGGGATATGTTGGAAGGGAAGATAATTGGAAGTATTAACAGGGCAACCCCAGAGAGTTCATCGTGAAAGCCCAATGCTCAGACAGAGAGGTCCAGCTCATCCACTCTGGCGTTCATAATAGCCTATGGGAGTTGAAATTTGAGTCAAAAATCTAAATCAACACCAGCATTGTAAATGGAACCAGCGAGCTCAAAAACTTGCTTTAACCTCCTTCATTATTCTTTGTACTTTGCAGCATGGTCTTCCAGGGCCAGCTGGCCCTCCGGGACCCCAGGGCCCACCAGGGCCGCCCGGGGCTGTGGTCACAAAGGAAGAGTTGCTACAGGAATTCAAAGAGATGGTGAAAGGTAAAGAACCGTTTGACATTCAATATGAACGACACTGAAATGGAGGCTGGCAGAGATCTTGTAGCTAGTTTGGATTTGTAAACTTTTTCGAAAAATATTTTTCCTCTCAATCATTTCTATATTGATTAAATGCTCCGAGACAACTTCACTTTGGAACAAGCCATGAATCATAATCACGGAATGCACTCACAGCCTTTTCTGGACTCTGCAACACTTATATCTTTGGGCACTTGTGCTCAGTTTCTACTGGAAGTGATGCAATATTGCTTCCAATTGTAAAGGGATTAGGCTAGAAGAGACTGATTTATAATTTATGAAATCCCATTGGCCTTAGGCTGAGGATAGCTCTGTGTGTGCATCACTCGTTACACAAGCAGAGTTTGGAAGATTAACCAGGATTTGTTTTGAACCATTTTCTTCCCTTTCTCTCCTGCTACCATCAGTGTCCGAGTTGACACTCCCAATGCCGTGCTGCTGTCCTTCAGATGAGATGTTAAACCGATGAGTTCCTATCTGCCTATTCTGGTGGACGTCAAAGATCCCATGGCACTATTCGAAAATAGAATGGAATTTCTCCTGGCGTCCTGGCCAACAATTCCCCCAAATAAAATTTGTCATTAGTTTCATGGCTGTTTCTGGCACCTTGCCGCGCACAATTGTGCTGCTGCGATTGCCTACAGATACACAGTCACTACATTTCACAGTAATTCCTGTGAAGCGCTTTCATAAGTCTTTCCAATGTGATAAGACACTATACCAAATGCAAGGATTATTATTATTGTTTCAGAAACCCTTTCTGGGCTACAATTCTGCAGGTGTCCCAATGCTTTATCTCATTGAAGTGGCACTGCTTAGTGTAAATAGGTAAGAGCCTAAAATGGGTAAAATAACAACTTTTTAACAAAAATATTAGTGATGGCAGAGGTGACAATAGATGAGTTTATTGTGTACTCCTATATTATTTATAGATCATTTTAGGGCAGTCAGTGACTAGGGGACCAAGATTTAAGATAGACATAAGAAGATCTTAGAATTTTGTTAAGACGTGGAATACTCTGCCAAGCAATGTGATAGAGGCAGCCTATACGGGTATCAAGAGAAATGGATAGGTATTTGAAGGGGTATGCGGATAGGCAGGACAGTGGGATTCAAAGTATAGTTCGCTCTGGCCTCGATAGGCTGAATGCTCTCCTTCTGGACTGTAAATTTCTGATTCTATGATTTCTGTGAAACTTTTTTTGTAGAAGTAGTTGAAGAAAGAAACAGGTTCGCACTGCAAGAAAAGTGCCAGGAATGTTCCGGAATGGAGGACAACCTGAGATCTCCTACTTCCCTACCTTGGGCGCTGGGCCCATATCGCAGGCTGGAGGCCGGCTTCCACTGTAAGCTCAAGGATGACATGGCCGTGGACAGGAGGAGTATGAGGGAGCTGCAGAACTTTCATATCGTAAGTAACTTTTCAACCTGAGATACTGACAAAACAAAACCAGAGTATCTGTGCAACACAACCAGTATTAATGACCATCCCCTCCCACCCTTTCCCCTTTGGGCAGTGCACTGTGTAAGACACTATACTTTTATCTAACGGACCTGGTTCAAATCCAGTCCAGAGTACATTGACCCTCCAGTCTGAGGTTAGAGACTGTTTTTAACACTGGGACCTCAACCTCTACCTATCTCAGACTGATTGGACAAAGGTCTTTTTCTGCCAGATGTTAAGAGTTCCAAGAGAAATATGGTGGGGCTTTGTGGAGTCCTGTAGCTCAGTGGTTAGAGCACTCGCTTTGCAAGTGAGAGACCTGAGTTCAATTCCAGGCAGAGGGCGAAACCTTGGGCAAGTTTCCTTACTCCACACACCTAATAATAATCCCTCCAAAAAACAAATAAAAATAATAAATTGGTCATTTTCAATCTACGACTGTTTGTGGGACATTGCTGTGCACAATTGGCTGCCGCGTTCGCCCACAAATATACAGTCAATTCACTTTACAGTATATTCTTTGAAACGCTTTGGGACGTCCTCCCGACGTGAAAAGCGCTATATCAAATGCAAGGATTATGATTATTATTATCAACTATGATCCAAATGGGCACAAGTATTGAATACCAAATGCTCCATTTCAGCATATTCTGGCACTAACAGGCAATCTAACCAAGAGAGGTGACAAGGATGGATAGGGGAGGAAATGGATAAATAATGCTTGCTCCAAACCAAGCACCAGCCTCCCAATAACAACTTGTAGGCCTCCTCCACTGGCACAGATGGAGATGGTGTAGGTCCCAACTTGATACTGTTGGCCGGTCCTTTAGGGCACACAAAGGGGTCTATTATGTACTGATTGCTAAATAAAGAAGTGAAAATATATGCTAATAATAGCACATGATCTGGACCCTCAACTTCATATAAAAGAGATGATAATAATGTTAGTTGTTATCGAGTTAGGAATCTTTCAGGCTAAAGTATTGTCTGAGCTGGAATTGGGACTAAATAGTAACGGGACTTTATATTCTCTGTGTTCAATCACCTTGGTTTATAACTTTAATTCCTTCCAAAATTAGCTATATGACCAGCTCTCAAATTAAGAAATATTGCACAAACTAATTGAATAATATTTTATATTAAATATATACTACTTCGCAGGAAAATGTTTTTGATCTACTGTCCTGGTCATCTTGTTTTCTTGCGCTTAAGTCCTGGCAGTGGAAATTTAAGCTACATGTAGATTTTTTGTATAAAAAATGTGTGTACTTTCAGAAATCAGTAGAGTGAGTTATGAAATATTGTGTGTTTCCTTTCAGCCTGAGAAAGATGGTGTATTTCTACGAGGAATTGGCCTGAATCTGACCAGCGGTCTGTACGTGGCCCCACTCACTGGATTTTATCAGTTCTCCGCAAACATCCATATCGGTAGGATATTGCGCATCAGCAGATCAATAAAGGAACCGCTTGTGTAGCCAAAACTTTGTCAATTATTGGCAAACTATTGCATTAGAGATGACTGACCTAGTCCAAATTTTGTACAGTCGAAACAACTTGTGGGATAGAGGCCCACACTAGCTTTCAATGAATAAAGTTGAGTAAAAAGGTATCCTGACACTTTATTCCAATAAAAGTTTTGTGTCATGTGGTAGGTGGTTCTTGATAAGTTAGTTGGTGGTAGATAGTGCTTGATAAGACGCTGATCAGAGGTTAAAAATATTGCTCTAGGTCATATCTTTACTGATAACTTCCTGTTTTTCAGAACACAGGGAACACCAGAGAAGGCGGCACACACGAACTCACGATAACATTCGAGTGCTCATCTGTATCGAATCTCTCTGTCAGAATAATGCGTAAGTAATAATAATTGTCTATTGCTGAACACAACCCTATAACATAACATAACATAACATAACATAACATAACATAACATAACATAACATAACATAACATAACATGAGTAATCAGTTCATGATAATTAGGATCTTTACCTAATGGTCAAAGTAGGGAGGGATAGGCAGAACACATTCATGAGAAGTTTGTAAGTTTAGTATGTTCCCAGCATGACGACACAAGGTGCAGTATTGTACTTGGTATTAGAATAACATACTAGAACAAGTGGCCTTAAGACTGGAGAGACTTACGAGACAGTGATTGTAACATACTTAAGACTCACAGTCACAGCACAGACGTAACCAAATGTCAGATTTTGGAATGAAAAATGGCAAATTTCAGAGTACAAAAAATGTCAAGAGTGATTTCAGAGCGTTAAAGCAAAAGGAAAAGTTAATGTGGGGAACAGCAGACGAACTAAGGAATTATTTGAGTGAGACCAATGAAGTACAGACTAAAAAAACTTGGATCGGTAAGAGATTAGGTCACTAATAAACTTCAAATAAGTCAAATAATAATAAGAGGTCTAATAATGCAGAAGCAAACCAAAAAATAAGAAAGGCTAAGAGTGTGTGAAAGAGAATGAATGGATGATCTAAAGGGAAATAGGGTAATAGCAAAGGTTTTTATAAAAACAACAGAGGGAAGAAAATAGCCAGAGATGCGTTGGAGCACTAAGTTATGAAGAAGACATCTTAAAAACAGAGGCTTAACTAGTACACAGACCAGGAGCAACAGAAAGGTGTGGAAGAACAACTGTATAAAGATATAAATGTACATCAGCAAAATCTAATGAAAGAAAATCATTCTTGGAGGACTCTAGTTTTATATCATTAGCTTTCCTGTTTGAGATATTGGGTCGTTTTCACAAGGTCTAACTGGAATATTATCCTTAATCTGGTTCCAACATCGACTCCAGCTTATATATCAGTCATTCCAAACTTCACAGAATAGCCATGTGGCTGGCCAGTGTCCATGAGACCTTACTTCCAGCAATGAATCAGGAGAGGGGAGAATTTTGGAGGAAAAAGAAAGGATATTTGAATGAGTGTATTGAGACTGCATAACACAACTTGCATTTATATAGCGCCCTTCATGTGCGGCAAGTTCTCGGAGCGCTTACATGTATCCTGCTGGGTTAAACTGCTAAGGTTGATGAATTTAATACAAAATCCTTTGTTTCCAAGCCCAGGTGTCGAGAAGCAAAAAAAAGTGTGTTCAGTACCTCCATAATCTCCCTGAAGCAGGGAAGAAATCGAGGGCCCAAGCTCCCATGCCTTTGTGCTGAAATGATCCAAATGAGATCTGTTTACAGGATCTGTGCAGTTACTGTGTGCAGATTATAATCTTCGCATCATCCTCACTCCCTTTCAATGTCTACAACAAAAATTCAAACAAAGCTCAGCCCTGTCTGATGATAAAAAAAAGACCCTTTCACCAGCTGTGGCCAGTCCTCCAGTCAGTCCCTGCTGATCCGGGAGTTTGATGCTGTCTTGTCCAGACAAGCAGCAACTGGAAGTGCAAGAATGAGATGTGAAATGGAGTCTTTTCTAGTATTGAACAGACTATACCTTTGTTTATTTACAGTATGCAGCCATTATTTGGATAAAGGTTGATAACTCTCCCCTGTATAATATTGAATGTCTTGTGTATCTCAGAGTGAACTTCTGTTCAAGGAAAGCAAACACTGGGAAAAGAGAATTGAACAGGGAAGAACAATTGCGCTTTCAAACATAAAATGTAATAATTTCTTCTACTTTCCAACAGCTCCCTGGAAGCAGTTTATGGCCTGGATGGTAACAGCAACATTTTCACTATGTTTGTCAGTGGTGCCCTCTATCTGCAGGTAAGAAACTCACTCACACACACAGTGAAATTTGTTCTTTTCCTCTGTTGTTTGCAGGCAATTAATAATAATAATCCTTTCACTTGATTTAGCGCCAGATCGCGTCAAAACATCTCACAGCAATTATTCTATAAAGTGTAGTAACTGTGTTAGGGTTAGGCGATAATTGACAACAGATTTCTGAATTATACTTAACCGAAGAAATACGCCAAGTAGAGGGTACCATACTGCTCATATGTCCAAGTTAAAGACAGCAATTGACAGCCTGATGCTGTACAACTGTTATATGTCTGTGTGAGATCCCATGCATTACACTACCCACTGAGTAAAAGGAAACAATTTGCTTCCACCTGGTACTGTAAGATTTAAGTGCATTTCAGCACCTGCTCTGTGCAGTGTACATACAGTGTACATACATATATCAAAGGTGAAAGATAATAATCCTTACATTTGTTATTCGTAATTTCCACGTCGGGAAGACGTCTCAAAGCACTTTGCAGGAATATATCGTAACATGTAGTAATCGTGTATTTTGTAGGCGGACATGAGGCTGTGTAGCACAGAACTAGAATTGATATTAATTAGTAACATAGGAATGTCGCTGAGATATTTAATTTATTTAAAGATATCTAAGGATATCAAATGTTTAAAAAAATAATTCTGAAGATGTAATAATAATCCTTGCATTTGATATCGCGTCAGGAGGACATCTCAAAGCACTTCATAGGATATACTGCAAAGTGTAATAACTGTAATTTGTAGAATGTATTGAACTAGATTAACACAAGTTCTAAAATTGTCCCCAGGGAAGGATGCTGCTGTGTGTGTTGTGCAATCACTCACTTTAAATTACTTCATTTTATGTCAGTTCAGTGTTAGCGTACTGCATGGACATTATTTGTGTAACTGTCATTTGTAATGAGCTGTGACAGAAAAGAGTCAAATGTGTTTAGGTAAGATTTCAATCAACACTGTGTTCGGGGCTATGGTTTGATCAGAATGTAATTTAGTGTCTCTCTGTGCATTCCAATTAGATACCAGGAGATAATGTGGCTTGTGACTGATCAGCATTATATCAAACTACACACGCTCATACCACAAAGACATGCAGGGGATGTAATCCATTCAATTTGATGTTCGGGACATTTTCTGTTTGCAATAAGTGCTTTGTGGACATCTGGGAAAAGGCATATTACTGCTCTCTCACATGGGGATGAATACTAATTGAACAAAAGTCTGAGTATAGGAGTAATACGTATTTATAAGGGTCCCTGTATGTATCACAACATAGGACCAAGTAGGAGTTAATTAATCCTTTTTGTTTGACTCAGAGTTTGTACATTGTCTAGCAAACAATGTCTCCAATTACATCGTCAATCCTCCTTTCAACAATATTGAGTTGAAGAAAACTGCAATGTTGCTGTAGAATTGATGTAAACATTAAGCCATGATCTCTCAGCCCAGTCCCAATGAAACAATTTTAAATGAGAAGTATATGTATGTTCGTGAAGTGCAAGAATGTTTCTACTACAGTATCTGTTTTTCCTTGAGACTTACCAGTTTTAAACCTCTGTTTCTCTTCTTATGGTCAAGTTCACAAATAATTTCCATACTTTAAAGGATCTGGACCATGTTCGATCTTCATTTAGCAATGAAAACAAATTCAGCTATTTGTGTCTTTCTTGTATCATGCAACTTACAACCTTAGATCTCAGATACAACCTTACGCTTATCTCTGAAATCTCCAATGCATAAATGTTAATTTGAAGCTCGGCCCCAAATTGCACAGAATGTTCCAAATGGTGCCTCACCAGTCATAGCAAATGCAAGGATTATTGTTACCTAGATCAACTGAGAATCGTTTGTTTTTAGTGATATCAATAAATAGCTAGTGGGCCCGAGATGCTCGCTGGTAGTTGATCCAAAGCTTCACATTACTTGGAAGAGTAATGGTTATGAATAGAGTGATTAATTCAGTAAAGGCATTCCTAATGATTTCTTTCTCGTCTTTTCCACAGGCATTGCAGTACATTTCTGTATTTGTTGAAAATGGATCCAGCTCTCCCGTCACCATTCAAAATGGCTCAGATTTCACAGGAATCCTCCTGGGCATGTAAAAACAGTTGTTGTCTCCGGTACCTGAGCCTGCCTGAACCCCTTCCCTCCCTCCCTCCCCATCCATGCCTCACTTTGCCCCGCATGCCATATCGACCAGGAAGCAGACTTATTGTAACACTGAGAAAAGAAAGGACGAGCTCAAGGAGTGCTGGAGATCAGAAGACATTAGCTGGATTTTTGATCTAAATCCTTTGGATATTATGGAGAAATGTTTTCATGTATTGTTCTTACATTTTTTTCTCTGGATCAGTGCCTAGCCTGTCGGTCACTCGGTCGGGTCCTTTCAAAACTCTTACAATGCCAGGAAGCTGTTTGCAATTTGAAGTGGCCTTATGGATTTCTAGTAATTTGAGTATTTTCAGGATGAGGAGGCCGTGTTTTTATCAAGAGTGCAAACTCCATGGGGCTTTTTAACTCTCCCCTCCCGCCCTATGTTCTGTGACTTAAAACGAAATACACCGTACACCGCGCTTTCCTTCCTGGAAGTCTGTCCCCAAAAGGTTCCTGCTTACAAATCCTCTTTTTTGAAAACAAAATAGTTTATGAAATTTTCAAGTCACAAACCTGCTGCCCTGTTCTAAGCCTCCTTCTGAGGTTTTGTACATCTGTTTCTTGCTGCTTTGGGTTTTGTATTAGTCCTTTGCTAATTACGCTGCTCAATCCTGCTACAGGCACCAACAGCAGTCAAGCTGTCGTATTGTTTTCAAGAAACAAAAATCACGGCTTTTGATGAATTTCTACAAATTAGCAGGTTTGTGTGATAGAAGTTTCCTTATTGTCACATCTTTTTCCAGAGTATTGGAAAACTGGTTGACATTTATGATTGGCAAGAGTAACAGTTTTCAAACCCATATGAATGTACCACTGTAAGGCAAACACTTAAACTCCCCTGGTGGCTTAGAAAGTAAAAGTAAGGAACTTGAGCCAAACAAACCAGAAAGGACCCAGGTTCAGGTCAACACCGTGATAAACTAGTTGATTTGGGAGCTACAATTGGCCACATGCATGGGCTCAGGAGGGGAGAAAAATTAACAGGAGGTCCTGCTTCTACTTACTAACCAGTGCCTCCTGCTGGGAAATGCACGTTGGTGGCTATCAGGTGGAGGACAGCATCAGCCTCAACCAACATGCCCCCAAAGTTGAACCTCACTGTCACAGACAGTCATTGATTCGACACAGATACTTGGGAAAATGGAAAAATCAGATTTCATATTGCCTGAGATTACAGGATCACTCACCGATTTCCATCATCCGTGATTTTGTTCGGATGCACAAAAGGAAAAGGTCCAGGATCTTGTGGATCAGCACATATTACAAAGCATTCAGTATTGATCTTTGAGTGCTTGTTTCACAATGTTCCACTCTGTAGTTTGCTAATCCCAATAACCCAAATTCGGAAGGCTTCCCTTGAAGAACAAAGGTCAAATTGCAGAGTGAGTAACTCCAAAGGGCTCATCACACATCTCTCATTGGCATTGATGAAGTCCAACGTCAATCTATGTGATGAGAAATGGTGTGTTCTGTAGGAGATGTTAAAGAAGGGAACAAAATATAAGTAAATACCGAACATGCATTGGGGAGAGACTGTTTGCAGAATGCAAACCATAGATTAATGAAAGGGCACATTACTAACCATTGATCAGCTTGTTCATAAGAGATTACTTTCTGCGGCAATTTTAAGTTTAGTTACGTGGAGGTTGATGATTGTTGGATTGATGCTGATGGTTTTATGATCCTGTATAAAATGAAACAATCAACAGGAAAAAAAAAAGGAAGGGAAATAGTAGATCGGGAATCAGAGAGGGACAAACAGACTGGATTTGATAGAGGTGGGGAATCCTGCGCAAAGAAAGGATTAAGAGAGGAAATGAGAAAGAGAGAGACAGTGAATGAGGCAGACCTGAAATTTGCAGGAAGGATACAGAAATAAAATGGGGTGAGGGAAGAGGACAATCTCAGTAAAAACAGATGAATCTAGGAGAGAAATACATTGGGAAAGTAAGGTGTAGATTACTAACTTTGAGGGTGATCAAGACAATGAAATTCCCACCACTACCTCTGTAAATTCCTATTGTTTTCTTTACCTACAGTTCTTCAATGATTAAACACAGATATAAAGCGATGTTTTGCGGTTAAATAAGATTATTGTAGTACAAATATGATTATAAACGTTTGTATAAATCACAGTTCAAAAATATTGCAGTAACCATAACAGATATCAACTCAATTTTACAGTGCAATTAATTTACATTAAACACTTCAGTCTCTCTTGCCACTTATCATGCCACCTGTACCCTTAAATGCATAACTGCTGTATTATATATACCAGAGAGTACATTTTTCTGTGATAAATTGTAAAATATAGCTTGGAAATACTACATGTCTCATATCATCCAATTACCTCTCCAGATCCTAACACAGCATCTCATGCACCTTTGGATTTAATTTATACGTTTAAGTCTCATCACAGGATGCAATATACATTCAGACCGATCTCAATGTCCCTATTATATCTTCACACTACATCTCATCATTCCAATTTGAACTTCATACAAGCATGTACAGGACTGAAGACAATTATTGCTTAAGTGGCCAATCCTAAAATTCATCCAACTTCCAGCACATTTTCATATCTCATTACAATTACTACTTTAGTCTCCACTTACACCCTCAGATCTCACCCCAATTAGAACCCCAATGCAGAAGAAGGCCATTCGACCTTTGGTGTCGTTGCTGGCTCTTTTAAGAGCTATCCTATTTATCTGCCCTTTGCCCATACCCTTTTTAATATATTTGTCTCGCTCCCTTTTGAAAGCTAATATGGATTCTGCCTCAACATCTGCTCCCATCAGTATATTTCATATTCTAACTATTTTCTGTGTGTGAAACAAAATTCTCCTAATTTTCCCACTTGCTTGTTTGCTAATTATCTTAAATTGATGCCCTCTAGTTACTGACTCACCAGCCAGTGGGAATACTTTCCCCCTATTGACTATCCAAACCCCTCACAATTTTAAAGACCTCTATCAGTTCACCCCTCAAGCTTTTAGTTTCAAAAGAAAAAAAGCCCTGTTTCCTCCAGTCTCTGCTCATAGGCCAAACCACGCATTCCCAGTATAATCTTAGTAAATCTCCTCTGCACTCTCTCTATTGACTTGATGTCTTTATTCCAAGTACAATTCTTCCAAGTGCACCTTCATATTCTCACCTCATGAGACCATTATGCCCTTAATGCTCCATTAACACCCCTCATTGGGTCAGTGCACTACACTGAGAGGAATCTGTTGCCTCTTACATATTGAGCAATTCATAGTTAGAACAGCAGCACAAGCAGTGAAACAATGGAAGAAATAGCACAATTATAAGTCAAGGTAAACTAATAACTGGGACATTACTCAAATAAACTACAAACTACATCCACCCAAATTATTGATTCATATACAACTTATTGCATTTACAGTGACCCTCACCATGGAACGTTGTGACAGAGTGCCCACTGTTATAATAGTTGTCTTTAAGAACTACAAAACCCATGGTTCAGCTGCAAGAGAGTTCCTGCCCTTTGGGCATTGATGATTACTCCTCCCTACTGTTAACAATGATGCCTGAACACCACTTTACTGGTAGCATCAATCCCAGAACTGTGCAACAGCAGCAAATTATAAAGGTGGTGGGGGGAAGTGAAGCACGTTCTGGAATTAATTGGCCCAACAAGTCTGACCCTTATTTAAAAAAATAAAAAATGTTGACAGTGGAACTCCACAGCATGCCACTCAGTATCTTAAAGGGAACGATAGGTTAATGTTTCGGACCTAATCTTTCATAAGAACAAACCTTTACCTCTTTCAGCTGCTGAATAACCTTCTGGACATTTCAGGTTACATTTCAGATTTCCAGCATTTGCATTTTTTAAAAAAATTTGGGGCCTTTTCAGCCTTCTCCCAATGTAGAATTTTCAGCCTGCATCCAACAAGCATGTTGTACAAAATAGAGAGAAGAAAAACAAATGGATTGAAAACCGCTCACAGCAAGCGACATTCAATAAAATAAAATTAAAAAACACAGCGACATATATGTGAAAGCTAGACGTCTATGAACACTCATTTGGCAACAAGGTATTCGCTTAACGAAGAACAAAATGGGTGTAGACTTCATCCATATGTTTCAGTGTGACTGATGTTTATCTGGGAAATGATTTTAATTAATTTGAAAAACACAGTTGTGCACATGTGGAAATACATTTGGTTCTTGAATGTTAGCAGAGAAGGTGCTGGGCACCAAAAATGAGGGGAAGAGAGTGGGGCTCAATAATTCAACCAGTAATAGCATTAGGCAGATCTTAGAGTGGGAAAATACTTGAACGAGACCTCCAAATCTTGCCCTGTGCTGCGAGAGCAATGTTCTGTGTATGATGTGGCTGTGTTGCAAAATATCTCATATCGCTCACACCCGTAACCAACTCGTGACACTGGCATATCCTAACAGTAAACTGTGTGTACCCACCGATGCCATACTGTGATCTGACTGGCAGGCACTACATTCCTGGTTTTAATGTCTTACCCTTGTCGTGCTTATAAACTGATAATAAAGGTCTTCTCTGAAACCTAACATCTGTGTGTCGAAGATGACAATCAGATTCAAAAGTGAAGTAATTGTGGGCTATAATGAGGAGACTTTGGGGATATAATGTACAGATTCTGGGATATAATTTTCCTGATGATTAGGAGCAGATAATTATTATCGTCCTACATATTTGATATAGTTCCTTAACATGTATTGGAGATGACTTCACAGGATTTACTGTGAATTGCAGTGATTGTGAATTGTTTTAATAATAATAATTGTGTATTTGAAGCAACAAATTTTGATTACAGCAATGTCCCACAAACAGTCATGAAGTGAAAGACCAATTTTATGTGGATGATTGTCATATTCACCCACTTCTTCTGCCTACCAGATTACTTGTACCATTCTTTACATCGCTTCATATTATTGTATTTGCGAACAGTGATAATTTTTCTATTCTAAACAGAAACAGCATTTATGGTCAAGCTTTCTTATGAGTCTGGAAATCCTAATTATAGTCAGACAAGGTCCATTTACTTTATCAATCTCATGCAAATCCAAACATCTAATTAGGACTTTAGCTTAATCTTGAGTTTTATGAAGTCAATGAAAATGAAGGTAGAGATTATACTGATTCTTTTGGAAAACTCCTGTCATATACAACTTGTTATTTTTAAATCTAATTATACTTGCAATTGATAGGATAGCTTATATTGAAAATTACAAAGTGCTTCACATGAAATAGTGTCTGTGAAACCAATTGCAATGTAAATTTCAGTACTAAATTTCAAATTGTGAACTACATTTAAATTTAAATTACTGTAGTGTACTTTTTATCTCTTAGATGACATAATATGCAACAATTTTTTAAAAATTGCACTTTAATATGGTCTATCAAGCGTTCAGTTCAACACATTATTCATTTTCTTCATGTTGCTAGCTTTTGTAACCATTAGCTTCTAAATCGTTGCTGATTTGCTTAATGGATTATTTCTGACTGATTAATCTGTCCTGGATTCTCCCATCACTCATTCATGAATGCTGAATACTGTATTTTCTTTCACAATCCAAGCAAGCAGCTGGTGCTCAACCCACTTGATTTCTTACCATTTGTTCTTGTTTCAGATCAATGGCGTGTATTCACATAGGCTTCCCATTTCTGCCTGTAATTCACCCTGAGTATTCATAACACTCAAGGCAAACAGCTACCCTATGTAAGCAGGATTTGAATTGTTTGTCTAGTCCCCTAGCAAAGGAGATTGAACCAGTGTAAATTTTCAGGAACTACAAGGTGTGTTAATGACATGAACTGTGAACATAATATAGATTGAAGTGATGGATAAGAAAGTAAAAATATATATATTTTTAGAAAGATCAACCCTACTTACCTGCCTTCTCTCTACATTCCTCAATATACTCTTTCTAGAAAACTATCAGATTCCTTTTTGAACCCTTTCGAGTATTGGTAAGTCACCTGACATAGGGTGAGAGAGGCATTCGCAGGAATGTCAGGCTGCGTATTACTCGGGCTCCACCAATAGAGGCTATAAGCATTGCCAACCTTGCATCTTGGCCAGTCAATACTGGGTCGTGCCAGAGAAGAGCTGCATCCCCCCACCCCCCTCTACCCACTCCGCAACAAGTCTTTTATTCATTATAGCAAACAAAATACATGGAATGAAACCAGCCTTGCAATATCACGAGGCTGAAGCTGTCCAGCCACTTCAAGCTGGTGCACTCATTATTTTCAAAGTATGTGGGCTGACTTGGGGGGGGTCAGCTCAGTGATGGGATAGGAGATTCTGCTCAGCCAGTCTCTGATAGCACAGGAGAGATCAGCACAAGAGATAGCCTCAGTGTGGCGCCTGAATCTCCTGCTAGACAGAACATACTGTAGCACTGTGCTCCTGGCAAACACAGCTCCTCCTGCATTATTGATCGACAGATTTACTACAGTCCAGATTAAGGGCTCTTTAACCCTGTCCCATTCACAACAGCCCTAGTGCTGAAGAGACACTGTTCTCTCCCCAATAGTGGAGTGAGAAAGAGAGGAACAGGGGAAATTTCCATTTAAGGAATTTCCCCTGTTATAAGACCATTATGTTAAGGCATCTAAATTTACCAACTGCAGAAGATCGTTCAGATTCAAAGCCTAATTTAATGGTTTGATGATGAATACAAGGGGTCATCTTGGTGACAGCGATATTGCAGTAATCAATCTGTACTGTAGAGTCTTTGTCAAGCTCTGTAAAATACTGTACAATATCTACTAATGTGGTTTAGTGGAATCACGTCTTGATTTAATACCC